TCGATTTTCCGAACAGGGGTTTATTCTTATAATGTTTTCATTACGGGACGTTAAAATAATGTTTAATTAAATACTTATCGTGCAAAAACATATAATATCCAATAAACATACTGTAAATATTCAATACGGAGTCGAGTTATTTTATAGGGAATATTATAAGACTACATACGCATATCTACTTTTAAAGAATCTTCGTTGCAAATGAAAAAAAACTTTAGAGGGCTTATTAATTCAAAAAATTGGTAAACACTTCGGTGTTAACAGAACTTTTACAAATTGAGTTCTCAAACACTTAAATGAAATGGATGTAATAAAAAACTTTTGTATATAATATATTTATTATAAAGTCGAATTTATATTCGTAGCCTTTTTTGTATTTCTTGATAGTCTTTTTATAAATTTCGTACAGACAAACACACCAAACGCGTTGGGTAAGTATTCAAACAAAAATTTAATCTTGGATTTGTCGATATTATGTATTATACCAGGAACGTAATGAAACGAGTGTATTGAGTTTCGCGTTCGTATTCAAATGTTGGTTTTAATTTGGTATAGTAACCTTATGACGATCTATGTACAATTATTGGTTTTCATGACATAATGATCTACTTTCTTGATTGATTCTCATGACATAATGATCTACCGTAAAATCCCTAAAATAAGCACCTTTTTTTTAATTAGTGATGGTGCTTATTTTCAGGTTAATTGAAATCGATAAAATGTTGATCCCATGATCTTTGCTAATATGTAACTACTGATTAAAATATATGTAATATACAACTACGTCACATAATGGCAATTGATTTAAACTTTAGCTTATTAGAAAGTACGTAATAGTTTGCCTTACATTTGTGCATCATATAAATTAATAGCCTTTGCCGTATGAACTTTAATATTTATCAATAAATAATAATGTCAAAAGAAAAAAGAAGAAGTTATACTGCGACCTTTAAGCTTGATGTTATTAACTATGCGAAGCAAAATAGTAACCGTGCTGCAGCACGTGAATATAATATTGATCATGCAATGGTTAAACGCTGGTGTGAAAAGGAGGAAAAATTTAAAGTGGCAAAAGCCTCTAGTAGACGAGTAGGATCAGGTCAAAAGGCAGCATATCCTCTTGCTGAAGATGCATTAAAGCAATGGATTGATAAATTACGCAATGAAGGAATTGCAGTAATGCCTTCTGCAGTGAAGTTCAATATGAGTAATCTGCTCTTAAATAATTTTTCTCAACATTATCCAGATGTATTTGAAACATTTAGAGCATCAAATAACTGGTTTTATAGATTTATGAATCAGTATGATCTTTCACTTCATCGTCAAACTAAACTTGGACAGAAGTTACCTCAGGATTTACAAGAAAAAGTTTTAAGTTTTCATACTTTTATTAAAAATGCACGTCAAAACAATAACTTTGATCTTGCCTGTATTGGAAATATGGACGAGACACCAATCTTTTTTGATATGGTTGGCCAACTTACTATTGATTATCGCTGTGCTAAGACTGTACAAATTAAAACTACGGGTAATGACAAAAACCGATTTACCTGTGTACTTTCAGTGTTGGCAGATGGTACAAAGCTTCCTCCAATGGTAATTTTTAAAGGAAAAAGATTGCCTAAAGGCCCTTTTCCTCTTAATATATTTATTCGAATGCAAGAATGGGGATGGATGAATGAAGACTTAATGGAGGATTGGATTGAAAATGTGTGGGAAAAAAGAAGTGCAGGTGCTAATCAAAAACCAAACGCAATTACTGAACAAAAACAGAGTTTATTAACTCTGGATGCTTTTAAAGGACATTTAACTGATAAAGTTAAAGAAAAATGTGCAGAATGCAACATGTTTATGGGTGTTATACCTGAAGGACTTACATCACTTGTTCAACCTTTTGATGTTAGTATTAACAAGCCCTTCAAAGATCGGCTACGTGAAAAATGGAGAACTTGGATGACTAATGGAGAATTTCAACTTACTCGAGGAGGAAATTTTAAAAAACCAGTATATAATTTGATGTGTCAATGGATTGTTTATGCATGGGAAGATATTCCCTCTGAACTTGTTAAAAAATCTTTTAAAAAATGTGGAATTATGAATGAACTTGATGGAAGCGAAGATTATTTAATGTATAAAGAAGAGGATAATAGTACTTTAGAGGAACCATTTATTGTTTTAACGGATAATTTAGAAGAAAATCAAGAAAATGTTTAAATATATTGTTGAAAGCAAAAGTTAAAGCATGCTAAAATTCTATTATTGTAATTGTTACAAATTTGTATGTTAATATATACATATAAATTGAACTATTGCTATTTTTTTTTTTTTTTTTACTTCAGCAATCCTTCCTTTATTTTATAATCGGCAGCAGATTACAATTAGATATCTCAGTTAGCT